TTCATCGCGGGGTTTTCAAAAATAGCGGTACCACTGACAAATCTAACACGAAAACAAGAAAAATGGAAATGGAGAGACGAGGAAGATAAAGCGTTCCAAACACTAAAACAGACATTAATTACCGCACCAATATTAGTCTGCCCGGACTTTAACCAAGAATTTACCCTACAAACAGACGCCAGCACGCACGGACTAGGAGCGGTACTCACGCAGGTACTCGAGGGAGGAGAGCGCGTGATAGCATACGCAAGTCGGACGCTCAATAATGCCGAAAAAAATTACAGCGCAACAGAACTAGAATGCCTGGCAGTAGTATGGGGAATTAGGAAAATGCGCTGTTATATAGAAGGATACAAATTCAGCGTATTAACCGACCACCAATCACTACGATGGCTAGAAAAACTAGAGTCGCCATCAGGACGATTAGGCAGGTGGAAGTTTGAGTTACAACAATACACATTCGAAATACGCTACCGAAAAGGAAGCATGAATAGAGTAGCCGACGCACTATCCAGACAACCGGTAATCGCCGCATTACAAGCAAACACGAAGTGCCAATGGTACAAACAAAAGGAAAACCAAGTTGCAGAGCAACCTCAGCTATTACCAGACTACCAGATAAGGGACGGCAACTTGTACAGACATATCCTCCACAGTCTCGACTTCAAAGAAGTATCAAGCCAGGATCAATGGAAAAGATGCATACCGCACGAGCAACGTCCGGAAATACTGCGGACATACCACGACGACCCAGCAGCGGGTCATCTCGGGATCGCGAAAACAATATGCCGAGTAGCTCGCCTTTACTATTGGCCAGGAATGTTTAGAGACATCAGCCAATATGTAAAAAGATGTAAAAATTGCATGGCCCACAAGGTATCACAAATGCAGCCACCAGGAAAGCTGCACGCCACGGCAGTACAAAGACCATGGGAACAGGTCTCGCTGGACCTTATAGGACCGCTACCAAGATCCAAAAAGGGATACACATGGATTCTCACGATGCAGGACCGATTCTCAAAATGGATCGAGATAAAGCCGCTACGTCAAGCAACAGCTAGCGCAGTAGCACAAGGCTTCCTAGAAGAGATTATCTACCGACACGAATGTCCGGATATTATAATATCAAACAACGGAACGCAGTTCAAATCAGGAAACATGAAAAAAATAACCAAGGAACTAGGAATACAACACCGGTGGACGCCGGTATGGACTCCCCAATGCAACCCCGTAGAAAGAGCGAATCGTACGATAAAAACAATGATCTCCCAATACGTGGGAAAAGACCATAGAAGCTGGGATGAAAATTTAAGCCAAATAAAATTTGTCTTTAATACAGCGCAAAACGAAGGCACAGGATATACGCCGGCATTCTTGAATAACGGTAGAGAGCTCGCGGGACCTTGCGAATTAGAACGCAAACAAAGGCCTGGTACGACATCAACAAATATCCATGAACAATTGAAGA